TACGATGAGGTTGATTACACCGACTCTGAATCAGATGGCGACAGCAACGGTAGCCGTGACGACAATGTTGCATCCGGACTGCGCGATGGATCACCAGCCCCTCGAGGTACTTCGGCGTCGGCAGCCGCGTCTGCACAGCCGCCAGGCGAGACAAGCGCGGCTCATCAACATCACCATCAACAGCACCACGACCCTGTGTCGCACCATCTCCACCATCGCGGATCCCACCCACCCGAATCTCACCCTACGTCACCTCTGCACCCCCAGCGTGCAGGAATTCCAGGTGGCACCTCCAACCTGAACTATTTTCATCTCCCACTCGGCGGTCTCTCTGGTGCCGCGACCCCTCTTGCGGCTGTCGCTGGCGCGCATTTTCCCGGGCATGGCCATAATGGCTGGGGAGATGTAAACGTTTCCCATGGCCCATACGTGCTTCCCCAAACACCAGGAGCGCGACCTGTCCCAATCGGTCATGGCCAACCGACCACTCCGCCAAGTGCAATATCACTCACACCGCCGTCATCGGCAGATCCCTCCTCACGACCCCCCTCCCAGCATGCATCATCCGCTACAGGTGTACACACTGCGCGGACGCAGTCTAAGGATGGGAGTGGCGATCGACCTCCCTACTTCCCGTCTGAGCATGGTGCGCCGAGTCCACCGCGGATGTCGACGATGCGGGAGCAGAACCAAAGTCCTGAGGACATCCAAGTCGTCGCCCACGTGCGGTACGCAGGTGATCTACGGCTCTCGTTGACAGCGGAGATCCTGTTGGATTACCCGATGCCAAGTTTTGTGGGGATTCCACTGCAGCTCAATGTAACGGGCCTGACGTTTGATGGGGTTGCACTGGTGGCGTTCGTCAAGAAACGTCGCCGGGCGCATCTCTGCTTCCTAGCCCCAGAGGACGCGGAGGCGGTTCTGGGCGGGGATGGACTTGATGATGAAGAGGATGAGGGTGAAGGAAGGAGGCCCGTGGGAGGGAAGATGGGCGGCTTGCTTGAGGAGATTCGCGTCGAGAGCGAGATTGGACAGCGCGAGAACGGCAAGCAAGTGTTGAAGAATGTCGGAAAGGTGGAGAAGTTTGTTTTGGAGCAAGTGCGACGCATCTTCGAGGACGAGTTTGTGTACCCCAGCTTCTGGACGTTCTTGGTCTGAGGGGCGAGGCTGAAGCTCCAAATGTCTTTCCAGCCTATGGCGACTCCAGATGTGAAGGCCCTGTTTCTAAGTGGCGGATATCCTCCCAGTGATCAGGGAGGTGGCTAGCGGTGCATAGGAAGAGCCATATTGCCAGCTACTGCCAAGGAGCCTTTCCTGTGCAACGCGACCAACGACTTCTCCCTTCAATCCACTTCAGACGTTGACGCCCCTTCGCGCTGTGCTACCAGCATGACATCTCCCGTGCTAATGGGTAGGTAGACGCCGTGCAGCAAAAGGAATTAACTCTCGCAGGCGCAAATTGCAATAGAACCTCGACGGGAAACTATCTTTGACAGTAACCGCAGCAAGCAACGGCATTGCGGCAAGCGACGTCAATCATTCTGGATCCTCCGGCTTTCTTCGAGCTTCTCCCCCGCCTTGCGTCACCGTGCCACGGCATGCGGCAAGGTTGCACGCGTACAGAGAAAATGGATGACGGCTCGCAACGGCAGCGGCACAGCAGCACCATCGACGGCAACAGAAGCAACGGCGGCAGATACTGCACAGTGGCGTGTGATAGGCGCGGTGATTTTGTCTTCGCTTTCTTTCCTACCCCTCGCGCCGCGCCGACAGGCTTGTACTCCAACGTTGCATCTGACTGTCGTTCTGTAACACGATAGTCACCATTTTTTTCGAGGACTTGTGCGACGGCTACCGTCTGGCTCGCGTGGCTTTGCTTCAGTTTGGCGCAGCTAGGTTGATTTTGACATTACTTATTATTTCAATTACATCCGATCCCTCTGTTGATTTGTGGTGTGCAGTGCATGGGGTCGAGTCGGCTATGTGCTGGCCTGGTACAAATTCCCGTGTGGTCTACCGGAACCTTCCCCGTGGGGTTTTGCCCCTTTGGAACTGTTTGCTGGTCTCGTGAGCGGGCCGCGGGTTGGGGGATTTGTGTTGCAGATGAATGGCTGCCGTAGCTCCGTCATGCCGCTCTCCCCGGCACCCGCTTCACTTCTGTTGTTCCCATGCACTATTTGTTTGTCTACTGTTGGGGCGGCAATGGACTCGGAACTCCGGAGATTTGAAAAACACAATGGGATACCATTGCCGTTTTTGGAGTCTGTCTTCTCACCTTGCTCGTTGGGAATTGGACAGGTCGGGTACCGGACGTTGCATTTGGCCTTCATGGTTTGGCTAGTCGGTCGGGAGAAGCTATAATGACACAACTCTCTTCACCAGGTCCTTATTGATTTGGATATCAATCCGGTGATGAGTCGGCTATTGGCACGTAGCGCCGTGGGAAGCTGCAAGCAGAAGACAATGGCCCTACGCCTTGACGTTGAAAACTGTGGGTAATCGAAGCCGGGAAGTTAGTTCTAGGCTTTGAGGGCTGAAGAAGGCAAACGGCTAGCAGCATCTAATCCTCTCTCCGGCTAGGGTAATTGGCTTAAAGCCGCGCCAGCGCGGATTACGTACGTGTCTCTGCATGGTGAAGTGGTCATTTTGTGATTTGGTACTCTGTCGCTGTCACTTCCTACGAGACAAAGAAATATTGTGGCCTCCGACAACATCCACTCCCAATGCCTTCTACCTCCGAACGGCGTGAGCTTCTCCACGACACAATATTTGAGCTCACCCTAGTCACAATCAGACTACCTCCGCGACGGGAGTCAATTCCACCGATACCATATAGACCTTGACTCCCTGACACACATCACAGAATCCGCCCGCACCTACCAACTTCCCTTTCGGTGGAAAGGCGTCTCTCGCCGCACGTCTGCATGTCCAGCCTTACCCCGCTTGCGACCCCACTGCGCAGCGGGCTGGTTGTTCCGTCAACGCTGTCCCAGATCATGGCGGAGGGTAACAGGCCATATTTGACGCGCATAATTGCCTCAGGCGGTCGGCCGCTGTGACGTCGTTTACAGGCGGGTGCAACTGTTGACAGCCGCCAAGTAGTAGTGCATATATGGCAGGGTACCGGTAGTCAAACAGAGCTGTGCGCATCCTTTGGCGGGTGGTTAGTGGTGACGCGGTTCAGGTGAAGTGAAATATAAGCGGCATTGGCGTTGCCGCGAGCCGCTAGACACTGCGATGCCTCCCTACCCTAACGGTTAGCCTAACGGTGTTCCTGTGAACGTCAACCTCGCGCTCGGCTAATGCAGTGAAGTCGGACGTCGACGGATCGAGGAGCAGCTACGACATGCAGTCCCTGCCAAGAGGAGCCTATTCAGTCGATGTGCATGTCGAATATCTCCCGTCATCCCCTCGATTGTTCAGTGAGCCCATGCAAGCTGGCAACGATGATTCGTGGAGCCATGGTATACAGGAGTCAGTCATCACATGACGAGTGCGCCATGATAGGGCGGGAGAGTGACGTCTGAGGAGCGCCCAAGGGCTTAGCGAAAAGTCGTGACCGCCTCTGCGAAAGTCTTTGCCCACATGTTAAGCAAAAGTTCTTAGTAGGAGTCGGCTAGAACTCCACAACTTTCTAGGGGGCGCTCATGACTTTTTCACCCAGCCCTTGGCCCACGCCACGTCCGCCAACCCGCATTCCAAGTTTCGAGGCAGATCCACTGCGATCCGATCTCCGCTCCCCGCAACTTTCACCATTGCAACACCTGCGATGCTCCACCGCCTCTGCTGTCCGCGCGACGCGCCTTCCGACCCGACGATAACTGCACAGGCCACGGGTCCGACACCGGACGCGTGATAACGAGAATCGGATCTAGCGCGGGAGCGTACACAACGCAAGGAGGCGAACACTGACAGCGAAACGCGAACCTAGCTACCGACCGGTACCGCACCATGGTGCTAGAGCTCCTCGCTCTAACGGGACTGCCCGTGGCGATCGCAACGGTGGAGGGCGTCCGGTATCATAACGAAAAAGAGGCGGAAAAGGAGGACGCGGTGCGCATGCGTGATTTTCACATCGACGTGTACTGCAGCTCGACGTCGCGGAAACGGAACGAGGTGCATAATACGATGGTGGTTCTAAGTGGCAAGAAGGTATGTCAGTGGGTAGGCGGGGGCGCTTGCCTGGTCCTTGCTGATCGTGTGCAGCTGTATCTTGCACGCAAAGACAGCGAAACGGAAATGCCCCTTAGTGCTGATCCCGCTAGTCCACCGCCGCATCCATTCACTGGCTTCTTCCTCGACCATTACCCGGAGGGGGCAGCCCGCAGTGATAGCATGTTTACCCGGCTAAATCGGGCGGAGAAGATTCGCGGTCTTGTCAGCACCATCTCCGACCATCCGCCGACGCTAAACTGGGTGTACGTTGATCGTCAGACACTGGAGCTGAAGTACGGAAACCGAGACGACGTTGAGGGGCACATTGTCGGCCCATGGGACTGGACCGAGGATGAAGTCGGCCTGACATTTGAAGGTTGGGAAGGGTTCGTGGCTGTTGAGGAGCAGAAGGGCATCTGGGCCGTGTATTTTGATCGTGACGACGATAGGCTCAAGGGGGTTGTTAGTGGGAAGAGGGTGTTGCCATGCAGTCTGGAGAGGCGACTGCTAGATGATGAGGAGGTCGTTACCCGCTAGGGTGACAGCTAACCTTGATGCTGAGATGTGCATCTGGGAGTTTTGGAGCCGAGGTCTTGATGTCTTCTACGAACTAAGGGAGAGAAGAATTGATTCCTCATCTTGGCTGCTGTGCATCAGCAAGTAAAGCAGACAATCTACGAAGATCAATCTTCGTCCAACATCTGTATCCCTAAAAGTGCAGTCCTCCTGCTCGAAGTGTACACAGCCGCTGCCTTGAGTATTCCTGGCCCAACAAAAATGAGGCAACACAGGCCTCTTCGTTCAACTGGGTCACGCTATGTGAAAGGCAAAAAGGTAAAATAAAGTGCGGCTTACCCGGATCGAACGGGTGACCTTCAGATGCTCTGATGACCGAAGTTCAACTTCAGTCTGACGCTCTCCCAACTGAGCTAAAGCCGCTACCTTGGATAAAAGGCTGCATTGGATCATAGGCTATGACAACAAAACTTTTTGTCACGAAACAATTTCAATGGCACGAACCGACAAGGCTGAGGAATGACCTTGGCAATGGAGAGGGGAGCTGTCGGAGGCAGTTCGACGCCAGGGGTCAATTGGTAGGCTGGAAAAACATGACAAGATCCGCAGAGGTGAGTATCGAAGTTATCAAAGACTTCACTCTATGCCGGTGGTGTGGAGCCAGGGACCATGTGCTTTCTGAAGCCATGGTTAAAGGTCTCTACGAATGTAGTCTGAGCGACTCAAAATCCTCTTTGGGAAAGGCTGGAGCAAGTGGAGAGAGAACTACCTGAACTTGACCAGGGACTTTGAGGCCTCTGAGGAGGTGCGAAGGGAAATCCCGTAAGTATCAAGAATATCTCATGAGGAAAAGCCAACAGGTATCCATCTTATTTATATATGCCACGCTCCACACTGCATTGCCGGAGAAGCCAACATATTTGCTGATGCATTCAGCAGTGCAAAGGGCCATTTGAGAATCTTGGTGCAGGCCCATCTCTGAGGTCCAAGCGCCTACCGCTTCATCCGCGTCTTATGCGGCCAAGCTGCAGTGGAAGCGGCATGGAAGCCTTCGCGACTGAGTCTGAGCGCAAAAGAGAAACTTTAAGACAGGTTGATGACGTGGGTTGGGAGAACGTCGTTTTCCGCAGACTTTCTTCAAGGCCCAGATAACTGTGAGATGCGATATTTGCTGCGCGTACCCGATTCAGTCTGGTCTTGACGGTATCGTGACGACGGTGCTTTGTAAGGATTGCAAGGCATGTAGGAGGAGGGGTAGGATTGGCCGATACGAATTAGCTAACCGTGCTGCAGACAGAGCTCCTTGTTGAGTGCTGCTGCGTGCATGATGTGGTGGGTGATGAACTGAGGTCCAAGGTATCGCTGGGCCGCGCCTGCACCCGGTGAATCATGGCATGAGTGCCCCGCCACCTCTAGAACCGTCGAGATCGAACCACAACCACCACCCAACACCAGAAAACTCCAGAAAACACCCCCAGCCCTATCTCACCGGGCATCGGTCATTACACGCGCCAAATCGACTCACAGAGCGACAGAACAGCATTTACGGCACATTATTTGCCATCTCGTTGTCTCCCTCGCCAACGGGAACACGTCGACGTTTCCACACCGATCCACGCTCGCCCACCCACCACGGTACAGTCAACGTCTCACAATGGCCGACAGCCAACTGCACGGCGCATGCTCTTGCGGCCGCAACATCTACGTGGTTGACGTACCACGCGCTTCTACACAACGTGCGCAGGTCCTCTTCGACAATAGCAGCCAAACCAGTACGTCATTCCCCATACCAGCAATGTCGCGCTTGCGTCTGCCCGAGTCCGGTCGCGGGGGCATCCCATATCTCATCTCGCTCTCGTGTCTAACAGTTTCCAGGACGTCAGTTCGCATCACCGTTCACCGCATGGCTTCGTGTCCCCTTCTCGTGGTACCGTAGCACGACGTTCGCCTTCTTCCCTGACGAAACGCACCGGAGCATCCGGCGCACATTTGTCTCACCATTTGAGTCCAACACTCGCCGCCAGTTCTGCGGGTACTGCGGTACGCAGCTGGCCCAGTGGGAAGATGTGGCTAACCCGGCTGACGAATACATCAATTTGACGCTGGGGTCACTGTTGGACGAAGATCTCGATTTACTTGAGGGCATGGGTCTTCTCCCAAGTTCTGATAATGAGGAAGAGGTGGAGCAGACCACACAGACCGTACGAAGCCCCCCTTCCCAGGTGGTCGCTCCCCGGGGCGCACCATGGTTCGAGTCAATGGTCAGGGATTCGAGACTGGGCAAGTTCAAGCGTTCTAGGGGCGGGCACACGTCTCGCGATGGTTCCGTCAAGGTGGCGTGGGAGGTCGTCGAGTGGACTGGAGAAGACGACAACGAGTCGAGCAACGGCGGAAAGAGGAAGTTCAATGAGGCGGAGGAGGGAGCTTCGGATGTTCATATGCGTGGTTGATCTTCGGTAACAACAGGTTTAGGCTACATGACCAGGCCGCGGTTATCAGAAGGCTAAAAGCAGTCGCGATTCTTGGTTTGTGAGTTCATGGAAGGCCATTGAAGGCGCTCGTCAGGATGATAGACTATAGGTGTTCTTGTTCACGACTTCTTTTGTATGATACTCGTTATGAATTTACAGCGTTAGCAGTCTATGAAAAGATATTATGCCCACGATCCTGCGGCTCAGCAGCTTCTGGTAGAGATGCCGGAAGGTGGTACGTCACCTAACCTCGGACGTGCTGTTTACCGGTCTGGGAAGACCAGACCCGCTTTCAATGCGCTCGCCTAGCATACAATGACGACGGACCATATCTTCGACCGATTCAACTGGTGACAGCACGCCTGGCTGTCCCAGATGCTACATGGAGAGGTCAGAATTTGGCCTTCCATGGCTTCAGAGTGGTATATGTTCAATGCCGCCGCTTTGCGACAAGCTCTGACGATTCATGTCCAAGGTGATATTCGGGCTCAACTCATCCTACCATGTCATATTTAAGGTGATCGCTACCGTGTACATACAGGCAACCACATATAGACAAAGAAGATAAAAGAAAAGCGTGAGCAGTGTCCGAAATACGCAACGTCCACTATGATCCCAGCAGCAATGTGGGAAGCCGGAGACCAGTTAAGAAGTCTAAGGAGAGATGGCAGGCTATCGTTACTTGCCCTATCTAGACAGAAGTGGTATGAGTGACAAGACTTCTCGGCTCAGAGTTGGCGGATTTGTTTAGTGTTCTTGATGCGATGTGGATCGTGCCCCGCTAAGCGGAACGATCTACGGATTAATGTGTCATCCTTACCATAGAGTGGATATTTAGTGCTACGGAGCGGCCGACCACGGAATTCGGCTCGAGGACGAAGACCTGCAGGCTGCTGCTTTCGATATATTCCACCTCAAATCCGATCGCGTGATCATGTGATGTCGTGATGGAACAGTGTGTGAGCTTCGGCTCAAATTATGCTCCTTTGTTTCACTAGTAGAGAATGGTGACTGCATGTAGTCTCCTATCGATCCCAGCGGTGAGGCGGGAACTTATGCTGCAAAGTACGACCCAGACGCGGAATGTCTAGACTATTCTTTGTGAAGAAGTTCAAGTGCTGTTCAGGGAGGCGTACGAGAATTAAGCGGCGCGTTGCGTCCCTCACAATTTTCGAGAAACCCTTGCGATGGTCATCTGCTCTTAGGCTCGACTGCGAAGATCAGCCTGCAGCTATCAAGGCGTCCATGAGGAGATACGGATTACTATCGTCACCCTAACCCAGCCGTCAGATTGCCCGTCGACTGATATCTCAGAGACTCTTCGCAAAGGCAGGCAATTCGTGTCCAAGTGCAAACACCCGGCAGACGCTCGGCAGTCATCAAAGAGTCGCAGCAGCCGACAAAGTCACATCGGCGGGGCGCTCAGTCAACACGACCGGTCAAAGAAATTCTCGTGTCGTCGTTGTACTGCAGTACCGCGTCGGGCAGCGTGCGGCCCCTGCATATCGGAACCAAGCCGACTCGGGCCCCCTTTTCGTTGGTCCCCTGCGCCAAATCTGCCGGACATCCTGGGCGATGGCTATTTTCGGGAATAATGTCGAGACGTTCCCGTATCTGTGGCTTGCGGGGGCCGAGAACATGATGAGGGGCGTGCGAACATTATCACAGTTTTAAGCACAGTGCCGGTAGTTTTAGAGTACAACAGAACGACTCAGTATGTCGATGGATATGTGCTCGGACTCCTCGACGGTCAATCGTTCCTGACGCTCACAGTAGCACCGAGTAGAATTGGCCTTCCCAATCTTGCCTCAATGCTCCCTTTCCCCACCATCGATGAACCTGCGCCTCAAGCTGAGATTAAACTCCCGCGCCATGACAGCCTCAGCCTCGTGGGTGGCTGTTAAAGTCTGCAAACAACGGCCACCAGCTGAGAGGCTGAGATGGGGAATTACCGCATTGCGTCTAGTCGCCGACCCACTCCCAAACGCCCCACACCCCACGGACCCCTCAGCCCAACTGGCCTAATCTGACGGACCCCTCGTCACGGGCCGTGCAATGCCTGCAAACCCACGTCGGAGGTCTGGTCAGCGGGATGGGCTTCGAATGCTGCGGCGGAGTGAGCTTTATTTCTCGTTATAAGAATCCGCCTTTCCCCGGTCTGCGGCGATATTCCTACTCCTACAACTCCAACTACATACGAATCTTCGGTCTTTTTACACACTCTCTTTAACTAACTTATCGCCTACGGGTTTAATCGATCGAACACCTTCACCTCCACAATGTCTGCTCAACAGGAATGGCACGCGTCTGGCGCCGACTGCTGCTCGCCCCTGGGAACTTGTACGTTCCTCCCCGGCACTGATCTCTGATGCCCAGCTAACGAATCCTCAGGCTGCATGTCGTGGTTCCTCCCCTGCGTCGTCTACGGCCGTGTCCACCACCGGATGCACAAAGACAGCCAGCTGCAGAACTGGAGCATGTTCAACGGCGACTGCTTCGGGTACTACGCTCTCACGTGCTGCGGCTTCCAGTGGATCCTGCAAATGATGCAGCGCGGCGAGCTGCGCCAGAAGTACGGGCTGAAGGGCTCTGGTGCGTCTCATCTACCTTCGATTACTGCGTATCCCCTAACGACGATAGGGTGCACTGACTGCCTTTGCGCGTGCTGCTGCACTCCTTGCGATCTGGCGCAGCAGGATAAGGAGGCTGAGTTCCGTGAGAATGAGAAGGCGGGCCTCATCAATGTGCAGCCGAATAAGATGGACAACATGCAGTATGGGTCGTGAGCGGGACATGTTAGTCCGGCTGGAGGGGGATATACATCCATGCGTACGATTGTTTTCAAGGGGGTCTTCTTTTACTTTCCAGGGCTGATGTACGGACTGACGGGCGTATTTACGGAGGAGCTGAATGATACCACTGTCGCGGCGGCGGGGGGACAGGTTCGCTGCG